GGAACCAAAACAGAGAGAAAAATGTAAAAGAATACTCTCAAATTAGAAGTATGAAGAAAACCAAGACAAAGAAGTTTTCCCACAAACCACCTATACTATCAGATTCAGAGTCAGATAGTAGTGGATTAGAAAGTCTTTGGTTTTCAGAAAAAGAAAGATATGGTAAAGCTTCTATGACTCCTATTCCAGAATTTATAACACCTGTGATACCTATTAAAAGTTTAACAACACAGGATTTGTAACAGAGCCCTTCAAGAAGTATACTAGGCATACAACCAGAAGCTAGTATAAGGTCATATTCATCAGATAAAGATATTGATACAGATGAAGAAATAACTACTTTATTAGATAAAGTAATGTTAGTGTTTTGAGGTCACAATGATTCCCTTAGAGTAGTTCACACCAGTAGGGGTTCAGTGGGCTCTGCTCATGGTGTGTAGGCATCAATACAAGTCGACTGCATAGTTGGTAATGTGTTGTGTACTGTCATATATGTCCTATGAGCTTCATTGTCCTTATATTAAGTATTATATATACTATCTAATATTGTGTGTCTCAGATGTATGTCTCAGAAGACATGTCTAAGACATATGATGCATTTATCCAGAATAAATGCTAACACTCCCCTTCAAACTTATACTAGTTGATCAGGCTAATATAATGTTTGATAAGTGTTTGTTTGTTGTTTTACTAATATCATTTACATCTACAATGTAAATGTTTTGTTTGCTTCGTATATTAAGTCCACTGTAAGTGTTGCGTTTGTCTGATGTATTATTATAACTTTCAATGTAATAAATCGATTGTTAATTCAATTATGATTGCCAAGAGAGCTGCAGGATCTCTTTAGCATTCGTTTGTTCATAGTTTTAATATTATTAATGTTATAGTTGTCACTATAATGTTTTATCATTTGTATGATAGTAGTTTTCTCGTTTGCAATTTAATATGATATGTTATAACTTCGTTTCGTTCGTTTTTCATGTCATATTGTTTGTTTTGTGTCATAGTATGTTTATTTCTTCATACTGTACTGTTCCACAGTTGTTCCATTATTCGTTTCGTTTGTATTCATATTATTATATGTGTAGTTTGTTTTATATTCTTACACTCATTGTGTAATTAGAATTGTACTTTGTTTGTATTGTTTCGTTTGTATAGTTAATACTATATTTAATAACAATGTGTGTGTTATTAATTCGTTCACGTTAATTTGTATTCTTACACATTTGAATTGTGTTACTAGTAGTTTTTCCACTTTTACTTTTGTAATGAAACTGTTGAATCATGCTCATAAAATGTGTTATTAATGTTATTATGATGTCCTCTATTCATCATGTATCATCTTCGTTTGTTTCGTTTTGTATTCATACCTTTTAAGCATTCAATTGTAGTTCTATGCCTTTATATTGAAGCATTGTATTGTTTGCAATTTGTAATATCATGTATGATATGTCAGATTGCTTCATATTAAGGTTGATTGAGGTTTTATTCTTCTGTTATTTGTATTGTTTTATCATCTGACTGTTTGTAAGTCTGTTTAGACACATTATTTATGTTTTAAACATATGATATGTTTGTATTGTTTTGCTGTTTTGCAGTAGATATATTTATTATCAATATATGTGTGCATTGTGTTCGTTATCATTTAATGTGTCCTTTGACTTTTACAAACTATAACGTTATTTGTATGTTTGTATCATTTTATTGTTGTGATAATGTTTTATTATCATTGTGTAATGTTTATTCAATTAATATATTGCTCTGTGCAGTTATAATATGTGTTCATTGCTTTTATTTTGTAGATAGATGAAGTAGTGTGCTTCACAGTTCTATTTTTCATCATATATTGTAATATTTGTTCATTTTATTGCTTATTTTGTGTCAAATTCTGTTTGATATTGTTTTAATCATTATATTCGCTTTATTTGCTGAATATATGCATGTGTTTGTTATGAGATATGAATTTATTTTGTTAATTTTGAGTGTATTGCTCATTTTGTTCATTATGATTAATGTTATCTTGTTTGCTTTGAAAGGATTAACGTTTTGATTACTGTTACGTCCATTGCTTCTTTTAATTAACTTACACGAGTGCTTTGTGTGTCTAGCATTGATTGCTTTGGGAATATGTGCCATTTCTTGGCTTGTCTGGATTATTTCCCAGTTATATGTCTGAATATTATTTCGTTTACTTAGTTATTCGTTTGCTATTATGTCCTGCATGTTAGGGAATAAGTGTTGGAAGTTTTGCATGATGCATAATCTTTATTTTCAATGTAACATACGTTCTGTTGTGGAAGACATAGTTCTGTTCTATAATTCTGTATAGTTTGATATGCACCAGAGATGCTTTTCTGCTCAACATTGTTGCATGTAGCATACTTCTCTGTGTTTAGGTATATAATCCATAATATATTCTTTCGTAATTTGTTCAATGGTGTTATGTATAGTGTAACCATCAAAGTTTTTAGAGAAAATGTCTCTTACATAAGTATATTATTGTCAGATTCGTTGGATTCACTTGTTGGATTCAACAGATTTGCTTTGAATTTGTTGCAATAACTTTATAATTGTGTTTTGTAGGATG